TATATATATATATATATATATATATATATATATATATATATATATATACCAAATATGTATTTAGAATCATATATGAGTAGAGTGCTCGATATACCGAAGTATATAGAGCTAATAGATAAAGATAAAATAAACCTGGTTTACTTCATAAGATTTATTCACTACAAACTTGTTTCGTATGACAAGCAATGCTTGCCACACTCATCAGGTGAACTTAAATCTAAAATTTAAAATTTTAAATTTTAAATTTTAACTGATTTTAATTTTTAAACTTTTTTAAATCTAAAATTTAAATTCACCTGATGAGTGTGCCAAGCATTGCTTGTCATACGAAACAAGTTTGTAGTGAATAAATCTTATGAAGTAAACCAGGTTTATTTTATCTTTATTTATTTATATTTATATTTATATATATATATTTATATTTATGTTTATATTTATATTTATATATATATATATATATATATATATATATATATATATATATATATATATATATATATATATATATATATATACAGCTAATTCAAAAAAGGTTGTCCTTTGCAAACCTTAAACTCTAAACCTTAAACCTTAAACTCTAAGCGCGCAAAGCATAATGGGAGCACTGATTTCAAGCTTAGTAGTTGAATATTGCAGCTGTTTGTGAGTGAAATGTTTTCTCAGGCACATATTTACCATGTCTCTAAGAAATGGGCTTCATATATGCTTTCTAAGCTGCTTAAATCGTACTCCCATAATGCTTTGCGCGCTTAGAGTTTAAGGTTTAAGGTTTTAGAGTTTAAGGTTTTCAAAGGACAACCTTTATTGAATTAGCTGTATATATCTATATATATATATATATATATATATATATATATCTATATATATATATATATATATATATATATATATATATATATATATATATATATATATATATATATATATATATATATATATATATATATATATATATATATATATATATATATATATATATATATAAACCGGGTGTCCCAAAAAAAAGTACTCCTGTTTGATTCGTAATAACTTCTAAACAAGTAATGCTTTTAAAGACAAATAACTTGCCTTTAATAGAAGAAGGGCTAACTTAGATTTTGATATATTACAGTTGTATTTTACTTAAAAATTCACGGAGATATTAATGTTCAAAGTCGGGAGCATATTTTGGGATGTGTCTAAAATTAGCGAAAATCGGCATATCAAATATTAACTCCAGCGTTTGTTTGCTTAATGACATATTAGGCTAACTTGTATGTCAGCGAATTATCGTTAAGGTTTGTAAGGGATATGGCGTAGATTTAGACATCTTACATGTAAGTCTTAGCTCATTGTTTCCTGAAATATGAACGTTCGAAATTATGCAAGCATTTAATATTAGGTCTTTGCAAACTTAAATGTACATGAAAGACTGACCATGGAAGGCAGGCGCTTAAATTTTTCGTATTCTTAAATAGCCTAATTTTTTTATGTTTTTAATGGGTTTAAACAGACTGAGTAGATTATTTCTCGGTTAGAGCAGGATGAATATTCTTTATTGAAGGAAATAATATTGCTTTTTGCAAATACACATCACCGTATCAACGCTACTATTTTGTTACGTTTTATTCCAAAAATGTTGCATGTCTCTGGGGAGTTGCTTAATTGTTATGTCTTATGGAGTTGTATGGTTTGATTGTGTTTCATATAATTCTCAGTTTACTCCATGAACTTGCCAAGATTAAGAAACGGCAAAAGAGTTTGGGTGTTCTTAACAAGATTTCAGAACGTTGCAGAAGTTAGAAGAGCTTCACAATTCCGTGGTGACAGCATGCCCTAATTCAGAACTACGAACGATCCAATGACGATCCTTCGCGATGCAGTGGTCTCATGAAATAAGGAAACGTATTCGTGCTAGGAACACACGCGGATTTCGGACGCATAAATCTTGCTTGTATTTTGTAGATATAATAATACTTTGTTTCATAATAAACAATTTGTCAAGTGTCATTTATTTACTGGTAATAGTGCATGTTTCAGTCGGGCAAATCTTGATTAATATTTGATACGCCGATTTTTGCATATTTCAGACACATCCAGAAATATCCTCCCGAATTTAAAGATTAATATCTCCGTGAATTTTTAAGTGAAATACAACTGTAATATATCAAAGTCTAAGTTAGTCCTTCCTCTATTTGATGCAAGTTATTTCTCTTTAAAAGCTATACTTGTTTAGATGTTATTACGAATCAAACAGGAGTACTTTTTTTTGGGCCACCCGGTATATATATATATATATATATATATATATATAACTTGAAATGACTTGTAACAATGTAACTTGCAGCAATGTAACTTGCAAATGCGTCATTGGTGTAAAGAGAAAGATCTTCCGGTAGCAGACCCATCTGGCTCTTCTTCTGTTATTAAGCAAGAACTTGACACGAAGCTATCCCCTGAAGTTTTGTGGGGTCAAAAAAACTTGATTGATATCCAATCACCCACAGAAAGCGAAAACAGTCCCTTGTATGGTACTCGCATTCAAAAGCTCAATCAGAAGGCCTATCCAAGGACCCCTTTATCAGCACCTTCACCGAATGCTATAATAGACCAATTAGAAAATACTAACTCCAATCGTCCAAGATCACATTCATCAATGCATAGTTCCACCCAAATGGCCGAGTGCAATTCAAAATTACCGTCACCCCACGCTCAATGTCTTAGTAAAGAAGTTAGTATAGATTTGACCTCGTCTGGTATCTCGCAGGAAATTTTAACAAGATTACATCTAAATAATAGTTCATCTAAAAATGTGGACTATACGCCACCGAATTATCCCAGTGCTACAGAAATCTTGTCACCAACATGTTCATCAACACCTACGATGGAAGCGGACAGTAGTGTGGTGTCATCATCAGGTCAGTTCTTAGAATAAGGCGGGGGGTAATCTTCCTTTCTTGCAGCTGAGAGCTAAGCTGAATTGCGAAGGACGCAGCTCAACTTGATCGAGGCAAAGGCTTTCTAATTAAAGCCAATAAAGGTGCCTCTGGCAGCCACCGTATCCGGTCCGTATGACTCACGTTTGACCACGGAGTACAACTACGGTGGAATGGTCAGTTTGGGGGCATATCCCAATCCGGTGTACCCGGAGACTGCCTAGTGAAAACAGGGTGGACTTTCGTCTACGCATGCGCGAGAAACGTAAGCGTGGAGTGCACGTGAGCGCGGGTTAATCGCGTGACTGAATTATAAAAACAAACATCAAATTTGCCAAAACTACTCGTGTTATGAAGTCATTTTCTTGTTTCTTTAGTGTTTCTACGCTCACAATTTTAGGCATTTCCAACTTAGAAGTGTTTGCTTTGGAATAAGAACGTGAAAGTAGAAATAAAAACTTTGTTGCAGCAATTTAATTTCGCAGTGCAAATATACCTGTTTGTAATATGTATATCCTTTTCGAAGTGAGATATACAAGTGCAAATTGACCTTCTTTAAATTCGTACTTGCCCTATTTTTCACTCCATAAAAACTACTTTTATCCATGGAGAAACTATTTGACTCTAAAAATAAGCTTGAATTTTTGTGGTGATATAGGCTAGTTTCTTTGCAAACAGTGATTTAGTACTCGGTAGTGTAGTTGTTTATGAACAAAAGTCTAAAATGAATTCAACATTCGTCAACAAAAAGGAGTCGCGCTTATTACTAACAACAAATTGCCACGAAATACTACACCGAACGGTCAAGTTTCTCTGCAAAGATCGCCCCTTTGCCCAATTTTCCTCGAGTAGATCATCGTGTTTTTAAGTCAAGGATTATGTATACTTTAACATAAAAGAATAAAAAAAGTGGTGATAAAGGGTAGATTTTGAATAAAATACGAATATCTGTATACAAGATCTGAGCGTTATTATGAAGCACTCAATACTTTCTCCAACAACATATTGCGCTTATTTTTTTACAAAAGAGAGGTTAAGATACCCCGGTTACGGGTGATATACACGTACCCGTAAATCGGGGAACGACTTGTAACTTAAGAAATCCAAGATATTCCGGCGTGTGAAAACCGATCAGAGAATGGTAACTTTCGCTGTTGAGGTTCGCCATAAATTGTTGAAAACTTTGACGAGCATATATGTGCATTATTTATTTGGGTAAGATGTTTAAAATTTTTACTATTTAAACGGCCCACATATAGTAAACAGAAAACACCCGTACCCGTTTGTCTTTTACGTGTAGACCTTGGTTTACCGCGGGGAAACGGGTAGAAATTACGGGTAAAAATGCTGACATCAGCAAAAATTGCTAAACAAAATGGCGATACTCGTACCCGTAAATCGGAACCAGGGTATCTTAACCTCTCTAAAATTAAAAATATTCACACATTAAAGATATGAAAATGTAGCTTGCATTACAAAGAAATGTTGGCTTACCTAAGTTATACCTTACACGTCGATTAAAGTCAAATAAAGCCCTTTCAAAGACGCGTGCCACATTAAACTACAGGTCACATGGCGGTAGAGAACTCGACGAAGTATTCACGATATTTCATAGCCAGTTCAAACGCCACTGTGTACTATTCCTGTGAATTATGATGCCCAACACACCGGGTAACACAATTTACCACTTTGTTCGGCTGTTCCAAGTACACTTTTAAGATACAAGGTACGATCATATCATGTTCTTCGAAGCATCTGCTCAAAACAGTACAACATAAATATCGCCACTCATCTTCTTCGTATGAAAATATAAGTTTTCCTTTCAATTGCTTTGCTTTAAAAACAGTCATTAGGTTGATGAAGAGTTAGTATATGACTTCCAACAAAGATTACCCTATTGCTTTCAAAAAACCAGTGAATCACAATGCAGAAAAGTTCAACATCCTTAGAAATTGTAAGCCAAACATCGAAAAACAAAATTTGCGGGAAAAAGCTCACGAGCCCACACTATTTTTATGCAGCGTCGACGAAAGTCCACCCTGTTCCTAGTTAGCCTGCTCACAGACTCTATATAGTTCCTAGTGAACTAATTAAGCCGGTTTTCCACTGGGCGGAATTTTGCGCGCCGAGCGGAATTTTTCTTTGTCTTGTGATTACTCGGGTGGAACTAATTAGAAAAAACAAAGAAAGATTCCGCTCCGCGCGCAAAATTCCGCCTAGTGGAAAGCCGGTTTTCCACTAGGCGGAATTTTGCGCGCGGAGCGGAATTTTTCTTTGTCTTGTGATTTCTCGGGTGGAACTAATTAGAAAAGACAAAGAAAAATTCCGCTCGGCGCGCAAAATTCCGCCCAGTGGAAAACAGGCTTAACGCTCAAAACTTTCCCCTTGACAAGTGAAATCGTCAGGCGTTGCGAGTTACGAGTTAAATAGAGTCACTGCCATTGTGGTGTAATGGTTAATGCCATTCCATGTTTTTAAGTTTTTTCTGTAGCAGCACAATGGCATACGGAATAAAAACCAAGGTAATTCTTTTCTGTAGAAAACGTTCTGTGCGTTGGGACGCGAGTATTAGCCGCATGGGATCGATTCAGATATTACAATGGTAAGCGCTTGTCAGTGCCACACACTAGCGGGGAAGGGAGGCTTTCCTTAATACATTCTTGAAAACGTTGATTCTTGAATCGTTACGATGATACCTGATTAATATTGTATCTAAGATTGAAAATTATTTTCAATTTTGGTTCTAAGTTGCAGGAAAGAGCTAAACGCAATCAACCCTGTCTTAACGAAATATCTTCCTGACACCTCAAAAACACAGATTTCTCTAATACAAATATCTCTCTAATACAAATATCTCTCTAATACACCCATCTCTCCAATACAAACATCTCTCTAATACAGAAATCTCTCTAATACAGACATCTCTCTAATACAGGCATCTCTCTAATACAAATATCTCTCCAATACAAACATCTCTCTAATACAGACATCTCTCTGATACAGACATCTCTCTAATACAGACATCTCTCTAATACAGACATCTCTCTAATACAGACATCTCTCTAATACAGAAATCTCTCTAATACAAATATTTCTCTAATACAAATATCTCTCTAATACAAATATCTCTCTAATACACCCATCTCTCCAATACAAACATCTCTCTAATACAGAAATCTCTCTAATACAGACATCTCTCTAATACAGGCATCTCTCTAATACAAATATCTCTCCAATACAAACATCTCTCTAATACAGACATCTCTCTGATACAGACATCTCTCTAATACAGACATCTCTCTGATACAGACATCTCTCTAATACAGACATCTCTTTAATACAGAAATCTCTCTAATACAAATATCTCTCTAATACAAATATCTCTCTAATATAAATCTCTAATACAAATATCTTTCTAATACACCCATCTCTCTAATACAGATATCTTTCTAATACAGCCATCTCTCTTATACAGCCATTTCTCATGCAGACGTCTTTCCAATACAGACATCTCTCTAATACAGACACTTCTCTAATACAGACATCTCTCTAATACAGGCATCTCTCTAATACAGGCATCTCTCTAATACAGACATCTCTCTAATACAGACATCTCTCTAATACAGACATCTCTAATACAGACATCTTTCTGATACAGACATCTCTCTAATACAGACGTCTTTCCAATACAGACATCTCTCTAATACAGGCATCTCTCTAATACAGACATCTCTCTAATACAGACATCTCTCTAATACAGCCATCTCTCTAATACAGCCATCTCTCATACAGACGTCTTTCCAATACAGACATCTCTCTAATACAGGCATCTCTATAATACAGACATCTCTCTAATACAGCCATCTCTCTAATACAGCCATCTCTCATACAGACGTTTTTCCAATACAGAGATCTCTCTGATACAGGCATCTCTAATAAAGACATCTCTCTAATACAGACATCTCTCCAATACAGACATCTCTCCAATACAAACATCTCTCCAATACAAACATCTCTCATCTTAGGGGCTGTTTATATGGTCCCGCTTACCCGGGATTCAATAAAGTGTGACGTATTTTGAGCAACTTATATAAGTCGCACTTCATGATCTAACAAAATTGCTTGTTACAGATTGTATGAAATTCCATGTTTTAGACAAAAAAACTAATGTTGAATGCTATTATCGTCTTCTTCCACTACATAACTTCTAGCGCGTTGCTAATTTCGTTTAAACAATATTTAAAGTTATCTAACTTTTGTTTAGGGCTGAAACGCGTATTTCAATTGCTCAAAATACGTCACACTTCATTGAATCCCGGGTAAGCGGGACCATACAAACAGCCCCTAATACAGGCACCTCTGTATTACTGAAACGTCTCCAATACGGACATTGTCCTCTATTACGTGCAGTTTCGAATGGCCCCAAAACACATAATTCTCATATAAAAAACCCTGAGAGCTTCATCCTATTCAGGTGTTATATACAAAATTGATGACGAAAGAATACATGTTGCCTTTGATATGGGTGGTCTGAAGAAATACCCACTGGATTGTAAAGATAAGATAGTGATTGATCGAAAGGCACTTCCAAATGAACTTGTGAAGGACACTCCAATACTTGTGAAACGTGCAAGAACAAAGGCGTTGTATAAAGGTATCTGAATGCGGAGTAGCAGATTATATAATATTTTCGTCGCTGGTTAGATGGTAAAAATGTTGACACTGTGGTAAGAGCAATAACACTAAACCCAGTCAGTCAGTTAACCAGGCAGGTATGGATCAAGCCAGGTCTGGTATCAGATACTGGGAGACAGACTAAGTCCTATTTAGTATATCATAAATATCAATACAAACAAATCCATACACAATCTTCATGTAGATATATAGTGTTGCCTCATTTTGTCTCTATTTTAACTCTTGCACATGTCTGTCCAAACTTTTAAAACTCTGAATTTGATAGGGGAATTCCAACACCTCTTCCAGCCCCTTTGCTAAGACTAGGAGGGGAGCACACCCCTATTACCATTCCCCACCACCCAGTAAAGCCATGCAAGCAGGCAGTCAATGAGTCACGGAAAGAAAATAAACATTGTATTGGTGCAAGGTAGGATGTTTTAGGAATTGTAAATTTGTATTGCAGGACAAATACAATCCTCAGGGACAATGAGAGGATATTGCATCATATTTGATGACCCGCGAAGAGACAGAGAGTGGAAGAGAACAAAAAGCTTGCGAGTTATTACAGATAATGTCGTGGTGAAAGGTAGGGCTTTGCTTTCGGGTTGGGAGGCAAACACAGATTATAGTTAATATTAATTAGCCTTTCTCACGATGACGAATATCCTCCATTTTTGGGTGGCATCAAATTTTCATTATCCAATGCAGACAATTAAAACAATGTGAAAAGCAATTTTTCAAAATAAACTAACCATTTACAAAGCAAATTTACCATCATTCGTCCAAAAAAATTGTAAAAAGTCGCTGTTATGTGGACTTATCGCACAGACTTCAGCTGAAATGCCACCCAAAAATGGCGGCGTGAGAAAGGCTAATTTAGGAAAGCGCTCGAGAGATTGTTAACTTAAAGAAATATCCGGAAACAGACCACCTTGATTCTATTAAAATTCGAAAGGGTTTAGCTTAAGCACTATCGCGGCGAGAAAACTTTACAGTCACCAACAAAGAGCGAAAACATTGCCGCCACCACAACCAAATGGTCCAAATGGGTAAAGACTAACACTTAGCATAACAATCGTGCTGTCGACCCATGATTCCGTTATCGAAATGTTCTAATGGTGAGCTTTACGCCTGGTTTAGTCACACTAGCAATTCTATCGGGGATTTTTCTCTTCCTGGCAAATGTGATCAAATAAATGATATACAAAAGACTTAGAATTGTCTACTTCTGAAATGCGACTCTATACTTTTATATGCGAGTTCACTCATTTGCATCCGTCAGAAACACAAAATCGCCGACAAAATTGCTGGTGTGAACCAGGCTTAAGCAAGCGACGTTTTTGTCAACACGGAGGTCATCCAAAAATGTAAGGAAGCAAAAAACGTATGTTTTGTCAGATGTGTTAAAGATTACCACAAACTGATACAAACACAGTTTTTAATCCAGTCTCTCCTTGGCAATCTGACGTCCTTGTTGACAAAAACGTCGCTTGCTTAAGCTCTGTTATTTTTTTATTGTTTTGAAAATCCCCCAATTCGCCATGTCAATCGGTCGCCGTTGTTGATTTCTTTATACTTGTTTCCTAAGTACGATTCTTGTTGCAAAAAAGTTATGTATGTTTAATGGCTAAAAGAACGAAGCAATTTCGTTGTTCTGAACACGAAATAAAAAGGTTATCCACAAACAGCAAAAACTTATTTGAGCGTTTAAAAACTACTTAATTAAAGTAGAAAACCAAATGTAGGTAGGCCAAACAACTACGGCAGATGATTTGACAAAATATTTATGACCAAAATACGCAAAAGATGACATAAATGAAGGTCACATGCCTTTTGGTTGTCTTCATAAATGTCTTTCGTTGTTGATGGTAAGCCTGGATTCAACATTTTTAACAATATGTTTCCATGGTTTCCCGCTACGATTTAAGGTAATTTATGAGCCAAATACACGCGCATATGTTAGTAGTATGTTAATCCCATGCAGAACCTCAAACGTCAAAAACCGCTTTTACAGGAGGCCCGAAGCTAGACAATAGAGATGACACTTCATGCACAAGAAAAGAAGAGAAAGCTACTTTTCTATTCAATGTTACATCGAAAAACAATAATACTATAAACTTACCCAGCCAATCGACAGAACAAGGATCTCATAACTTTCAATACGCAATCCCAAAGTCAAGAATATTCCACTCTGGACTTCCCACTGTGGTACCCTACGGCCAATCCACTCTCTTGCACTTTCCAGAAAGCACAACGGACGACCGAAGAATCACGTCAGAGATACAATCGCAGGATGAATACTCAGTACAACAGTCAAGTAATCTTTATAGTCAAGTTTCTACTGGTTTGCAGTCCAATCGTGCTGGTTTACTGTCCAACTTAACTGATTTCCACTCCAGTGTATCTCGGTCAGAAACTAAACTCCAGTCCTGTGTACATGACTCTCGGTCAAATGCAACCAGTTACCAGTCCAGTGTTGCCGACCCGCCAGCCAATCTAACTACTTTCCAATCCGATTTTGCAGGCTCTCGGTCAAACCGAACTTGTTTCCAGTACGATGGTTTAGACCCATGGACAAACTTGACTAGTTGCCAGTCCACCACTGGTTTTCATTCTCATGAGGCCAATTTTCAATCAAAATTTTCCCAAGATATTTTGAACTATTTCCCAAAACGGCAAAATGTATCGTCTAGTATGGAAAGAAAAAATATGAACTGTACCGTTGGAAACATTCATTCTCCGATAATGAACATGGCCGGTAACAATCACCAACGTTTGATGCCACTATATATTGGCGGGACAACATCAGATGGGAATGCCGTTAACTACCCACTACCAACTCACTCCGCTACGCCATCGCCTTTTACCGTAGGGGCGACAGATTACCACGTATTTGTACCAATTGAGGGACCCAGGTGCGGCGATAGCAGTGAAATTTTTAGCTATGAATCTGAAGATGCACCTAAAGTCAATTGGCCAAGCGGTTCGTCGATGGTTTATAATCAGGAAAGCGAAAGTGTTTTGACCAAGTACAACTCAAATTTGTGGCCAAGTTTTTATACAACTGAAGAACGATCCCCTTGCTCTTTTCAGGATGGGATTTGTACTCCAAACAAGCCAAGACGTCTTCCAATCTCGTCAGACTACGCGGCGTTTAATCAAGACATGACCTACTCCATAAAACAGGAACAAAAAAGTCCTTGCCGTTTCTTAGTTCCTTCCAAGATAAACACATTGTCCAACCCCTCTTACTACGACACCCAATGTTTCCGTCAGTTCGACTCTCCAGAGGGTAATGTTTATGGGAAGAAATATTTTCGTGAGGTTTTGTCCACGTGCTCGACATCCACACATTCAACAAGACCCACACGCGCAATGGAATCTGAGCAGATGATGGAAGATATTAGTCCCCCATTGTGTTGTCGGGTTCCATTACAACCACTGATGTCTACCACAGATGGAATGGGATCCGCTTATACAATCGCACCTGCATATCAGGCAAAGCTCGCGTATTTCATTCCTCCCATACATCTGGAACCCCCGACATATCCGAATTCACCTGCGAATTTTACACCCGCTTACCCGACACAACCCGCGTTCCCGGCACAACCCGCACCCCCACAGCCGGCACAACCTCCACAGCCGACACAACCCCCACACCCAACACAATCCGCATACCCGACCCAACGAGTACACCAGATACAACCCGCCCACCTGACAACACCAAGTTTGCCGTCATACCCGTACATGCCTTTAATTACAGAAGTGGAATGCTCGGCGCAACTCGCTAGTTTGAACCAAACAGAAATGAACAATTCACAGTATTTAAGTTCAACTAAGACATCTCAAAACGCTAATTGTGAATGGCTTGATGAACAAGACTTTGAAAATCCCAACGCAGCGCTAGCTGTCTATTTTCCACCAACCGGACAAAATTACACGTTTCAATCGTTGTCAAAAGTTTCCGGTAAAAACGGCGAACACGATCGTAGAAGACCATCTGAAAGCCCCTCCTCTCCTGTTACTTTTAACAGTCAACCAAATGAATGTTCCGATTTCATTAAGTTTCCACTCACACGAGAAGAGCGGAAGAGAAAAATATTATCGGCGTTCGGTTTTGAAAATGTTCAAACGTCAACGTCGTCCAATTCCTCTAGTAAGTTCAGCAAGGTGGGTGAAGAAGAAACGATTCCTACGTCCAAAAACATTATAAAAAATAACAGCACATTACCACTGGTGTCAAAGTCGAATGACTCGATTCACCCTTCACAGGAATCTGCCACAACGTCAACGGATGCAAATGTCTCTCGTACAGCACAGGACACCACGGCGTCCATCAGGAAAGACGGCGAATCTGACGACGTACATTGTTGTTTACTATGCGACGAGATCATTAATGAAAATTACATTGAACCAAATTTTGAAACATTACCCCCAAAGGAAAAATCGAAAGAGGAAATGGCTGTTCAATTGCAAATAACCAGTCAACATGTAGGAGTTAAGTTTGTTGACGAGGCTACGATTTTCCTGTACTCCGAAGCACAGCCGTCAAGATTCTTGACTTGTCTTTAGACTTTATATATGGGAACGTACAGGACTATTTCTAATTGATATTTAGATGAAATGTTTTAGTGTTCGTGGTATTCTTTGTTGGTGTTTAATTGAATTCTTGACCTTGTACGCAGAAGCATCCAAGTCTATGGCACCAGGAACAAATAATTTTGTAGACTGTTGATATTTTATTGAACTATTCGTGTTGTACTTTTATTATTGGGGATTATTACGTCTAGCATCCAGCCATAAACGGTGAAACCAAAAACACCAAACCATTTAACATTCTAAATTATTGGAGAGAATTCGAGATATCTATACCATGCCATCGTTGAAGCATTTATATTTTTTACGCACCAGAAAGAAATTTCAAACAACAAAAAGCAATAGTACTTTGTGATGAGACCTCATTCGAAGCAATTAACATCAATGTACATGAAGGATTATATGTAGGAGAGAGAAAATGGAAGCTCAAGTAACACACGAGTGGTCGTATACAAGTTTTTCTGAAGGGCGGCTAAAAATGCCAACAAAATTCTACGGAGTTTTTAAACCTTTTTCTTTGAAATCCCATTGTTTAAAGTGTAAATTTCCGAAATTTCGGGGGGCGGTTATACGAAAGCCGGATTGTGATATTTTTTCAGGGGCGTATTGGAACCGGGGGGGGGGGCAGGAACGACGCGGTGTGAATTAGTGTAGTCGTTAGTGTAATCGTTTAGTGTAATCGTTATTTAATGAATTTTGAATTTTTTGTTGGTCACCAGACATCCAACAAAAAATTCAAAATTTATTAAATAACGATTACACTATTGATGATAATGGAGTTAGTAACTGTTTAAATGACCTCCAAACTATCATCATAGATGCTGGCTCAAAAAGCCTTAAGATTAAGAAAACAAAACGACGATACAAAATCAATAACTCAGCCAATAAAAAATGGTGTGACAAAGAATGCCATGGTTTGTCAAAAGACATACACTTCGAAAAGCAGCAAATAGAAAACATAGGGACCCATCAAATATAGACATTAGAAATGAATACCATGATATTCTGAAAGATTACAAAAACGCCCTAAAATTAAAGAAAACTGAATTTCACCAACAAAAATGAAATGAAATTGATATAGCAACCAAAAAAGACCCAAATGAATTTTGGAAATTACTCAAAACATGTGATGATGATATAAACAATGAAACTACAAACAACACTATATCCGAGGAACAATAGTATTCACATTTCCAAAATCTGCACTTGAAACCTAACTTAGATAAAGATCAACAAAACTTACTTGATGAATTAAACACAGAAGAACAGAATCTACAATCACACGAAACTTTAGAGCTATCAATATCAGAAATAAGAAACACGGCCAAAAAGCTTAAAAAAAAGAAATCAGCCTACTCCAATAGAATAAGAAATGAGATGATTAAAAGCAGTATAAATAGCTTACTCCAGGCCTATGTTAAATTATTCAATCTGATACTACAAACAGGAAACTTCCCAACTCAATGGTGTGAAGGTCTAATAACATCAATTTTTAAAACAGGCGACAAGTCTGATTGTAACAACTATAGAGGAATTTGTATCTCGAGTTGCCTTGGGAAATTCTATTGTCTCATTCTTAATCAGAGACTGTTTGATTTCACAAGAGATAACAATACATTACACCCATCACAAATTGGATTCTTACCAGGACACAGAACAACTGACCATATACTTACAATTAAATCCCTAACTGACAAATATGTTATGCAGAAGACAAACAGACGACTTTATGCATGTTTTGTCGACTTTAAAAAAGCTTTCGATTCTGTATGGCATGAAGGACTTTTTTTAAATTATTCAGGAATAACATCTCGGGTAATTTCTATAAATTAATAAAAAGTTTGTATTCAAACTCCAAATGTGCTGTTAAACAGTCTAATCTTTTTCCACAGTACATCTTTTTTTCCCATACTACAAAGGGGTACGCCAAGGATGCACCCTAAGCCCTTTACTTTTTAATCTATTTTTAAATGATCTACCTCCCTTATTTGAAAACGTGCCTTCTGACCCTGTTTTTCTACCCAACAATACAAAACTAAATTGTTTGCTATATGCAGATGATCTTGTCATCTTATCCAGATCCAAAGTTGGCCTCCAACATTGCTTAAACCTGAAAAAATTCACTTAAAATTTTGTAAAACTTATCTTGGAGTAAATCACAAGGCAACTAACATAGCTTGCAGAGGTGAATTGGGTAAATTTCCACTTCTACTCCCCATATTAAAGAGACTAATGAAATACATTATCCATATTAACTCTCTCCCTGTCGCCTCTTTAGCAAAACAAGCTTTTCTTATATCCAAAGATCTATATCTAAATAACAAACCAAGCTTTTACTCCAACGCAATACACATGTATACTTAAGACCTATACAATACAAACAAATGATCTGTATAGGTCTTAAGATATTGCCAAAAGATATTGCCAAAAGTAAATACACGACTTTCTGGCAACACAACTTGAATAACTCATCCAAGCTATCTTTCTACAGCACGTTTAAAAACGAATACAAATTCGAAGATTACCTAAAAAAAATAATAATAAAAGCATTTATTTTAACACGATAATTTTACAGCATAGCTGATGTGGTCGTGTAACTAACTAAGTAACAAACTCCACGAAAACATGACTATAGAGTAACTGTTCACTAAAGCATAATTGTTCACATAAAAACACATAACAAACAATCACATTATTTGACACTTGCATGACCCAAACTATTATACACACATCTTAACATTACAACTTAAGCGCTTTAACAGATTTTTTAAATTCTTTAAACGTTCTACTAATTTTCAGTTCAAGGCTCAGTCCGTTCCATAGACTAACAGCTTGAAAGGAGATTGATTTCTTAACTGAGAAAGTCCGTGTTCGGTTTAGGAAGTTTATAAGTCATTTTATTTCTAAGTTGGTAGCGGTGAACATTTTTCGAAAAGAATTGACTGCAAAGTTGGAGGAGATAATTCATGATAGCATTTGTACGCTAGGTATACAAGTTGTTGTTTGTGCATATCATTGAGGGTGAACCATTTAGCTTTGTTGATTACGTCTTTCCCAGGGGTGTTCCAATCGAAACCAAAGATGATCTTTGCTGCGCGAATATGTATCTTTTCCAATTCATCGTTTTCACTTTCAAAATAACGTCGTTTCATTGGTTGTTATCAAACATGTTGGCTAAGGTCAAATTTACTTTGAATTAAGTTGTGAACACCGTCTTAAACCATGTGGCGAAAAATTTTATATTTAAATATATTTAACTGTTTTGGGCGGCGTACTGGCAGACAAGTGTTTCAACGGTTTGTTATACTACTATACATTCGGGGTTTTTTTTCAGGATTTTCTCTTCGGTCCGTTTTTGCAGAGAAGATTGAGTTTAGCTGAATAGCTGGGGGGGGGGGGGCAGCTGCGGGAGGCTGACACCTGTACCCATGCAATAACTGTAGTTGAGACGCAATGTGTTAAAGCAGACCGCTATAAACTGGAAAAAGACGGCAAATGCGTTGTTTTTCTTGTGTTGTGAAATGAATTCCAGCCATTTTTTTCTGATTGTTGGGTTTGCAACTGAAAACTAATTTCCACACGTCACGAATTTAGCTCAAACAACTTCATTTTTACTGCACTGAAACTTCGGTGAGAAGATTGAGTTTCAAAACTCAATTCAAGATTGAGTTTTTGGGGCCGTTTTACGGTCCTAAAAAATCCCTTAAAAAAATCTCCTGACATTACAAGGTGCTCACGAAATCAATGCCTAATACCAATCTTAATAACCACAATCCTATATGTTCATGGGCGTAACATCAGTGGTTTAAATATCTGGTGGCTAACTCGAAAACTTCACAGTTTATTTAGCAGTCAGGCTCTAAAATTATAATTATAAGAAATTTATTTAATTTAAAAAAAAAGTGTAACCGACCTTTATAATTGTATACGTACTGTTTTATAATAAACGAGCAGGAGTGTTTTATTAGGTTTATTAGCCACGAGCGCGCAGCGCGAGTGGTTTTAGACCTAATAAAACACGACCTGCGAGATTATTAAACGGCTTCAAAAACTCATTAATAATTCATGAAGCAATTATCCAATCTTGAGTAAGAAATTAGTCACGTGCATACGTCTTCATACCAGCTAAAGAACACTTTAACAAAAGACCATTGTTATGCAAACTATATAAAGATTTTTATATAAAGATTTGACGTCTTATTATGCAAACGTTTTTGAAGCCATTTAAAAAACTCGTAGGGCGTGTTTTATTATAGGTCTAAAGCCACTCGCGCTGCGCGCTCGTGGCTTTAAACCTAATAAAACACTCCTCATGCTCGTTGTTTAAATAGTACTTCAAACACTCATTAATAATTCATAAGCTTATTGGCAAATCATGTCAACCATAAGGCTCCGTTATTTCCCCAACACTGTTCAATATTCATATTAATGATTTGGAAAACACGTTAACAAACAACTTTACAAACACGCACAAGTATGCAGACGACTGCACTCTTGATGAGGTCGTTGCAAACGGAGCCCTTTCAAATATGCAGGAATCGACTAATCAAGTGATGAATTGGGCCAATGATAATAAAATGGTGGTGAATCCCAAAAAAACTAAGGACATGTGGATCAGTTTTTCCCAATCCTCTCTTGAACCCCCACCTATACAAACGGATGGAATTGAAATAGAAAGAGTAAACTCCTTCAAACTTCTCGGTGTATGGGTGCAAAATGATTTAAAGTGGAATACCCATGTTTGTAAAATAACAAAAAGAGCAAATAAGCTATTATTCCTTCTCAGAGAGTGTAGGAAATCCTTCCTACCACCCGAGATTGGTTTATTAACATATACGTCGAAGATCCGGCCAATACTTGAATACGCCTCTCCAGTCTGGGGTGGAATCCCTAAATATCTTGAAGTAGAAATTGAACGTGTTTAACAAAGAAGCTTGAGAATCCTAGGATTGGAGAAAGATACCCTCCCTACACTAAAAGAAAGAAGGGACAAGGCAACATGCAACGAGCTGAAAAGGATTGTGGAAGTCCCAAACAACCCATGTAATCGTTTCCTATCTGGTAATAAGAATCACACTTACGAACTGAGAAGGACCAGAGACAGCACTCCAAGACAGCTCTCAAAAACACACAGGCATAGTACGTCTTTTATCCCAAGGGCGTGTAGATTAACCAACTCATGAAATTAGATCATTGTACATATGTATATAAAACCTTTTAAACTTTCTAAGTCTTACACTCTCATAGCTTATATATGTATTTTAGTATAATATTTTTAACTTGTAAATCCATTGTATTTCTATATGCCAAAGATGGATATCTAATAATAAAATTGAATAAAATTGATGTCACGTGCAGTGGCTTTAAACCTGATAAAACACTCCTAATTAGTATTCTTTATATAAAGAATACTAATAAGGCAGTATCTATTTGTAGTCATGTCCAGTCCTCATTGGTATTCTTTATATAAAGAATACTAATAAGGCAGTATATCTATTGAATTTGTAGTCGTGTTTGAAGCCGGTCGTGTTTTATTAGGTCTAAAGCCACCCGCGCTGCGCGCTCGTGTCTTTAAACCTAATAAAACACTCCTGCTCGTATTCTGTTTTTAAAGAGGAGATGTGCTTTGTGTTGATGAAAAGGGTGTAGTTATAAAATGGTTGTTGTTTTAATAAATAATTCCACTTCTTGTCCAAGAAAGTATAAAATAAAGTAGCAACAAATTGTTGCCAACAATATATATAATATAATATATACTATAATCTGTAGTATATAAACATGAAGTATATAAATGTGTGATACGATTTGTTTTCGTGTTTTGATTAATTTAAGGGACCGGTCATAAAGTAACTGCTAGGGTGGGCTGGAGTGATTTGGGATGGGCCAGGGAAAATTTTTGGGCAGTTTCGATGGGCCGCCAATTTTTTTGTATGTCCACGGTTAGGCCACCAAACAAAAACCCATGTTAATTATATATTATGTAAAGATATTAATAATAAAAGTAAACAAAACTATCCAAAATATCAAATGGAAATGATGCTATTGAAGCCAGTACTTTGTGGTATACAACAACAAGAAGTGAATACAACTAACTGGAGAGCAGCCCGGTATCGTAATTGCATGGTGATGAATGTGTTGGTCAAGCTTGGTGGAATTATGTATGCCCGGTCAATACAGTGCCGGTGTATGTTTACAATGTTCATACCTGCAAGTTTTTTTTATTATAAAAGTGCATTTTACCAATTTAGATTGGGTGGGTGGGTCATGAAATAAATTTGGTAAGATTAGATGAGCTTTGAAATTTTTATGTACATTCTAAGATGGGTCATCAAACTTATTGGCAAAATTTGTGATTTACCTCCAGCCCACCCTAGCAGTTACTTTATGACCAGTCCCTAAACAGGTATCCCTATTTTAGTAGTTATATGAAGCCTTGTTAGTTCATTTCAGATTTGATATAAAATCCTACAATCTTCGTATGAAAAACCGATATAACTGAATATCACGTATATAGTTCTAAAATCATAGCGCTTTTGCACGATTTTTTCTGTAGTTTTTTTGTGCAAGATATTTTTTTCCTTGGTTGAAAGTTCTGCTCGAATTTTTTTTTGGTATTTGCACAACCTCCCCCTCAAAAATCTAATGGTCCATCCCTTAATACATATTGTACAGGTTGACAACTTTCCGCGAACATTTCTTCGGCAAACTGATTTTCTGGGGGAGTCGGTTACGTAACACTGGCACGTTACCATCCCTGCTTCAAGGGGTATGTTACATATAGGGGTATGTTACATATAGGGGTATGTTACATATAGGAAAAACTAGTTTCATATTAATCTGACACTGCAATCGAGCAACGAAAAATTCGTTGGCTCGAGCGGGATTTGAACTCGCATTTTCGGGAGTATCTAGACCGCCGCTCTACCTAGGTATGTTAAATATAGAGCGGGCAAACATAATGACGCAATGTTTAATGACAGAGAAAGTGACGTAATATTTTAAACCTTATGTTACACATAGGGGCAGGGGTATAAAACCTTATCTTTCACTGATATAAGGGGAAACTGTTACATACAGCGGCATGCGTGAAAACCTTATGTTACACAGTATAGGGCCGGGCATGCGGGAAAACCTTATGTTACATGTAGGGCCGGGCAGGCGTGAAAACCTTATCTTACACTGATTTGGGGTGAACAATGTTACATAGCCTACAATCTCGTTCCCCGAGCATGCCCGTTCGCAGGTTAAGGGTGGGCACCTTAACCTGCGAACGGGCATGCTCGGGGAACGAGATTGCATAGCCTACGGCACAACCTCGTCCCCAGGGTCTCTCCTTCTGTCCTTTGCCTACGGTCACGGTAGGGGCAGGGGCGAAAACCTTACGTTGTAAAATAAGGTTTTCACGCCTGCCCCTATTTGTAACATAAGGTTTTCACCCCTATATCAGTGTGAGATTTAACAAATATAAAACATGCATTTTCCGTGTTGACATACAGTTATATCAACACTTGTGGAAATTGGGAAAACTCGAAATTGTGCCTGAAAACACTCCGCTCACCTCTTCTTACCATTGCACTCATAAAACATTCATACCATATGAAAATATTCTTACCATCGCACTCATAAAACATTCACACCATATGAAAATATTCTTACCCGATTGCACTTATAAAACATTCATACCATATGAAAATATTCTTACCATTGCACTCATAAAACATTCATACCATATGAAAATATTCTTACCGCTGGCATTGCACTCATAAAACATCCATTATTTAATTTATTTGTATAATGTAAAACGTAACAGAACGGCGAGTATGCGGCAGATTCGGCCATTTCAAATAATGTAATGTTGGGATAGTAGCATTGCAGACTGCAGAGGAGAGTGGGAAGTAAAGCCCTGGGCAAACTAGGAAACATTGTTGTGGAAACATTGTTTCCTGCCAATGTTTCGTCATGTTTTCCAGAGTGGGCAAACACTAGGAAACATTAGTGAGAAACATAGGGAAACATCAAATGTTTCTGAATTTCTCATCAAATGGGAACGCAACAATGTTTCCACGGGTGGGCAAACAGGGAAACATTTGAGGAAACATCGAGAATCACAAATGTTTCCACAACAATGTTTCCTAGTTTGCCCAGGGCTTAAACTCGTGCACCAACTCCATGGAAAAAACCTGCACCCCTCCTGCTAGGTTACCCTCCTGCAGATGTGGCTAGCTGTCGTAGGCTCGGACTTTGACCTTGACCCAGCCGTGCGTGACGAGGAGGCGTTTGTGAGTATTTGCTTTGCGATACATGCATTCAAAATACACAATTTCCTAAATAAATCCACAAATTCAGGATATATAAAGGGAATTCTGGTTTTAAAAGGCATTTAATTCATCATGGCTGAAGCTAGGCTCGCTGTTGCGTTTCAGTTCGCCGTTACAGACGACGGGCAACTCAACGTCCACGTCGATAAAGACGTATTCCATCGTGTATTTCGTGCTTTGGTAAAGTCTGTCAAACGAAAGTACAAGTCAGCTAAACACAATTTCTTAAAATGGCATTTCCCTGCAACTCCAATGGCTTGGGTGCTGTTTTTCCTCGCGTTAGCTGCGGCCCGAATTGGCGAACATCAACCGACTTTAGGAATTCTTGGCCGTGTCGAACAAGCGCTACCCGGGTATGTGATTTGAAATCAAAATATTAGCGTAGAAAAATACGATATTCCCACTACATGTGTGTTTGGTTTAGAAACAGTAAAGCTATGAAACAGTTGGAGAGCGACTTTTTAGGGGACAAAGTTCGTGAATTTCGCAGCTTTCGTAATATTTCCGCTATAAAAACGGCAACAAGCTGGGTTTTTATCGACGTATATTCGTAGCTTGCTTTATAAAAGTACATCTAATACTGTAGTGTCTGTGTATATTATCGAATATAACGTTTAATTCTCCCTTGCGACACTAAATTTTAGTCCTCAAAAAGCATTGAAACCCTCGGAAATTGCGGGAAACTCCGAAACTTGCATTACAGTCGAACAAAAATTACAAAATATACAGATGTATATGTAACTTGTACTCGTTCGATCCCCCGACACAACTACGAATTAGCATTCCAAGAATTTTTGTTATCTTAATTATCCTAATATTTATGGTTAAATTCGCAATGATTTTGTTACAATTTACACACAGTATGCTTTTGTAACTATTCTTGAAATCCAGGGTTTTGTATATTTTATATGTATGCTTGTTTGGGAGCAAAGGTCGCAAAAACAAAACATACATGTTGCATATTGTGTCTATTGTGGCCTATTATGTAACTCTGGTAATAGGCGTATTATATAAATACATGTAAATCATGTTTCCGCATTTTTGCAAAGATGGATGTTCTAAAGGAATTGCCTTTACTGTAATAGCTTCTGTTTTCTTTCATCAAAATGCACTTTTTGCCAATGACCTTGTATTACTGTCGTTCCAATTGAAGTGTTCCTCAAATATTGATTCATAGTGATGGGCGATACCGAGTACTCGGTATTCGATACCAGCGATACCACAAACAGCGGTATCGGTATCGATTACTGACGTGGTATCGTTCGATACTTGCACCCTTTTTTAAACGACTTGTTTAATTTCACTTCTAGGTTGAATAAGACTTACTGTCGTTCCAATTGAAGTGTTGCTGAAATATTGATTCAATACATTACCTCGGGCTGACCAATTCATTTCATCAAGTTCCTCGAGATATTCATACACTTCCTATAGTATAATTGTAAACTTCCTGTTGAATAGTTTGAATGCACCAATCACCTTTGTTGTTTGTGCAACTAACCAATCATAAATAGAAAGGAA